AATGCAAATTTTTTGAAGTATAAAAATACAAAAGTGGTGGTGGATCATCTATTAAATGCAGTTTAAGATATTGGAGTATACCGAACAAAATGGTGTGAATTATGAATTTTGTCCAAACAAAATGATATTGGAGTATACCAAACAAAATGGTGTGAATTATGGAGGATTGGAGCATGATTTTGGTTATACAATTCTTATTATAGATTTTTCAAATACAAGAATACAAAAGCGGTGTTGGATCAATAGGTTAAACACAAACTTTTGGTAATTTTGATAAATCAATATCTTACTATATAAGTTTGAGATTTGAGGATAAATTTTTAAGTACACAAAATACAAAAGGGTGGATACTAAAGAATTGGATCCCATGACTTGAATATGCAGTTTATTAATATGCTCAACACTCAAAGAAAAAAAATATAAGTAGGTTAAATTCAGTTAAATAAGAGAATAGGAAGGATTTAGTTAAATAAGAGAATAAGAAATCGTTAGGGATTGAGATATGATAATAGATATTTAGGATAGGGTTTAATAAGAAGAAGAGTTTTATAACGAGAAGAAGTTGGAAGGTTAATTAAGGAAATGTTTAATTGAAGAATATATAACCTGTCAAATCCTGACTTTTTAGACTGGATTTGAAACGCAATTAAAACGGTATTTGAAATCTTATAATTATCAAATCCCTTTTGTAATTCCGTGGTTCCAAACAAGGCAATTCTGTTTTCAAATCTAAATCCCATCAAATCCAGCATTCCAAACTAAGTGGGCATCCCTTCCATTCTTAATTTTATTTTTATTTTTAGTACGTAGGATTTGTTTTTCATGACATTGTCTCTTCCTTTTGTGTCGAAGGACCAAAATTTGTAATTTGCCAAATATCTTTTTTCTTTTCTTGTTATTGCAAGTGTGGAAGCTCTTTTCTCGTATTCATTTGCATGTTATATAAAATAGAGAATCAATGGAAAAAAAGATACAGTATGAAAAAGGACGGCGTATAATACTTTTTTTTTTTTCCTACAAATATAATTTTTAAATTTTAGATAAAAATATATATATGTGAATGGCAGTAACACACTATAACACATATATGGATGTGATTATGTGAATGGGTATAAAATAAAATTTTGCAAAAAAATAAATAAATAGGAAGGATGAAATGTAATATAGTGATTAACTTTTGTTAATCTAAAAATATAATTAGATTAGACAACATGGTCAACCCCCATCTAATATTTATGTTGGAATTTATATATTTTTTTTAAAAAAATCATATTTATATAAATTAAATTGTCATTTTTAATTATATCTCAATAATCAACAAAAACTTATATATTGATTAAACACATTCATGATTTGAGTAAAAGGTTATGAAAACTTGAAACCAACTCAATCTTGCTGAATTTGATTCTTATATTTTTTGTCCCCTCAACTTCAATTCCAATTCTAAAGCTCCAATTACATGCAGTCAAACACAATGAAGTGTTATTAATTTCAACATTTTTATTAGTTGATCTATTAGATCAACTAATAATATGTATTTTTTCACTACATTCTTCTTGATTTATGCAATTTATTTTGTGAAAAAAAAGATATTGAATAAAATATACATAATATGTAAGATTGTTCTATTGTGATCGAAAGGTCATGACAGGGTCAGTCCTAGGCCTAGGTGACCCAGGCAATCACCTAGGGTCTCCAATTTGGGCCCAAAATTTGTATTACTAGGCCTCTCAAGATTTTGGACCTCACATTTGCCTAGGGCCTTAGAAAAATTGGGCCTCTTAGGGCCAGCCATGGATCACGGGTTCGAAATAAGGTAAAATCTCTCCATTGTGACTTGAAGTTCAACCTCCCTAGATGTGAAGGTAAGATTTCGTACATTTGACTCTTTCCAAATCTCAACGAGGGTTCAAGTTTCTGCAGCTACATGTTACCTTAAATATTGAGGAAATGTTGCGAAGAGGGTTTACAATTATTTAAGACTAGATTTTTTATTTATTTATTGATAAGTTAAGACTTGAAATATTTCTCATTGAAATTTCAGTTTTTATTATTTTATTATTATTATTATTATTATTATTATTTTTTGAGAAACATCAATAACATCATAAAGTATACTTTGATAACCATGATAAGGCAAACATTAGTTACACCCACAAGACGCTGTGGACATACTTGTGGGGCTTAAAACTTAAAAGAGTCCACCATCTAAAATACTGTGGACATAGATGTGTTACTCTGCAATTGGATCAATACAGACTGGCCTTCCTCCAAGGTGCAGTGGATCTAGCAATGCCAGCTCTTCTTAGGCAGGAGGCTCAGCAATTTTCTACAACAAATCCAATCATATTCATATCATTGAAGCATTCCATTATGCAAATGATTGTAATAAATATATGCCCCTTAAATCATAACCAACAACAACTTCAATGGCATGATATGTGTTTCTTAAAGACCTTGCTTCACTATATCATACACGGGTACTTCATTGCTTTTAAAGAGTGCATGTAACATAGATTTGGACAAATATCAAGTTATTTGTCTGGCAGCAATGCTACTGCTTATTGAAGATGGCCACTAATAAGTTGAACCTTGAATATTAAAATCATAACTATTGCGCCTGCAAATTAAAGAGAGGAGGGATTTGAATATGGGCACATCCGCTCGGAGAACTGGACACTCTACTAACTAGGCCACTGAGTAATGAAGTATTGCTTTATTTAAAGCATCAAATAAGTAGGAAAATAAATGATAAGAAATATAAAGTTTAGTGCTCTTGTAATGTGTTGTCTACTGTCACATTAGATTGCTTGACAGTGATTATAAAACTTTTGCCAAGACTCTTTCATAAACTCTATAATTGTTGATGCATGAATTTACACAACAATCTATAAAATTAAATTTGCAGAATCTTGTACATCACAATTTGTTGTCTGTACTTTTAGCAATCCTATGTTCTGGATCTCCACGACAATACAACAACATAGATTCGTAGTAACAAGCCATGCACAATCTGAGAACTCTGAATAAAACATTAGCCATTTTCTTGCACCTAGATCTGTAACAAAGTAGGTTTAACTTTGTAGATTGGATTCTGATTTCTTTATCTGTACTTAACAACCTTGTGTTCGTAGATTTGATTCTGATTTCTTCTAGTCATTTTACCAAGGAAGACTCGGTCATACATATTCTTAATTGAACTTTAATCATCCATGAAATAAGAAAATTTATTAAACATGAAATGGTTTCTTATTAATATGTGGAACTCATCCAACCTTCTTCACGTAAAACCTCGATTGCATCACGTGTAATGCTTCATTTCATATTCGTCAGTAAGAATTTACAGTTATCCAGCCTAAAACATTGATCCATTAGAGTAGAGTAAAAAAATCACTTAATTAGAGAAAAGTTAGTGAATAATTAAGATAATATTATAAGCTGCAGTCCTTTGGGAATTACAGTTCACTATTCTCTCTATAATTGTTGATGCATGAACTTACACAACAATCTGTAAGATTATCATTACAGATTCTTGTAGATTATATTCTGATTTCTATGTTTTCTTTACTTTTAACATTGTTATGTTTTGGATCATCGTGACAATACATAGATTCGGACTAACAAAGCATTCACAGTATGAAGAACTCTGAACTAGCATTATCCCACTATTGTTCTTACGTCTAGATTTGTTACGATAATTCTCAACATTGTAGATTAGATTCAGATTTACACCTAGAATTGTTGCAAACAATTCACAACATTATAAATTAGATTCGGATTTACACCTAGATTTAGTAATCTTAAGTTTTGGAGCTCCATATTCATAGATCAATATTCAATGCTGAATAAAGTATTCTCAACAAATATCTGTCTGACACTAGGTTTTGCTAGGCTACAATTTTCTTTTGCATGTTCGTTACTCGATGAAACAATGTACCAATGACAACTAATTGTGTTTGATTGTTTAGACATTTATTTCTGCCTTAAAGTTGCAGTGTGGTGAATTGTCTAGAGCAATTTCAGTATATTCCTTAGATCTGATTTATGTCACAGGCCTTGTTCATGTTCCAGCTGTTAACTTCTTCAAAGTTTCATTGCAAAAGTAGCAGAAAAGAGAGATGCAAATTTTATGATGCCTCTGTCTCTAAGACTTAGGGGAAAAGGACTTAACTGAAAAAATAAAAATTAAAACAAATATATATATGTATATATATATATATTCAAGAATCATCACCTTCATCTAGTCACCATCAAGGTAGACTTGGTCATTCTTATGTTTAATCAAAATTTAATCCACCATAAAATCATAAAATATACTTGACACATAAAACTTGAAGTGATCTTTTATTCGACATATCAAACACAGAAAGAAGAGAGCACATCGGAGAAACTTATTCGACATCTAGATCACCAAGCTACAGGACTGTTTCTTCACTCGGTTTCCTAAACTTGCCTCACACATAAACTCTATCCATAAGAAATAAAGCATTTGACAGAGTCAAAGGAACCCAAGGATAATAGACATGTAGAAATAAAAATCTGGATGTCCCGTTTCCATGAAGGTAGGGTAGCTGGCTGACCGGACCAAGGATACCAGACAGCTTCTAAATCTTGATGAGCTAATCCCAAGCTCAGGAAACAAGTTCACCATCAAATTGATCGAGTCATACTCGATGTTTTCAGTCAGAGTCCATCCTGATAACGCGTTAAAAACATCAGAAGCAGTTCAGGAAAACACTAAATGGACAGAGCAGTGACAATTATCCAACCATACCATACAGACCTTGAGGATTTAAATACCTCTAAACCACCATAGCAAGTTAAGGAAAGAGTTTTAAGTATGAAACACCCATTAATGTAATGCTTATATTAATAAACACCATAGCAAGTTCACCAGTTTAGTACCAAACAACTGTTGAGTAAAAATGGAATTTCTCTCTATTAAATTTAAGGGTATAGAAACCTGAAAAGTTTTACAAATTTTGACCTGTATTCTACCGAATATAAATTAAAAAAAAAAAAAAAAAAAAAAAAAAAAAAAAAAAAAAAAAAAAAATTAATACAAAGAATTCCTATACAATCTCTTCTATGCATACAAAAGAATGAATTAATCAAAGAATTCATGCGCGCACATGACTACAAGGTGGTTGCAGTAACTAAGGTTCCTTTACACAATGGAGAGGACTGTAAACCATGATGCCTAATGTTTCTTTGAGGCAAATTTGCTTTATCTGGAGTAGGTGAGCCGGTGGCTGACAGCATTTCTCCACCATAACTGGTTAGTGTGTGTACACGAGGAGAGAGGTTCGATCTAAGGCAGCTAGCACTTCTTGGAGACAAGTTTGCTTGTTCCAGAGCACGGAACTGGAGCTCCGAGGGGTAGTAACTCAAACAGCCAATTCTGGGCCCAGCACCTGTTGTCCATTTGGAAGACAGTTGCTTCCCCAATTGATATGACTTCATTCCTTTATGAGAATTAATCCTTTGAAGAATAGATTCTTCTGGGATAGTCTCTTCTTTAGTTTCTTCATCTTCTTCATCAGACAAGTTCTGCTTTTGAAGAACTTGTTTGGGAGAATACGACTCTTCCTCTATTACATAACCATCCAATGATGATTCCACTGTGAATCCGTTAATGCTTGATTCAACAGCTTGGTTCTCACTCTCTAATTTCTCAAACAAATCACCCTTGTTTGGTATTTTAAGATCAGTCAATTTTCTACTAAGGCAGCTAGACAGCCTTGACATTGGTGGTTCTAACACAGCAGCAGTCTCTTCTTCAGTTGAAATGGTTTTCTCTGAAGTCAAGTCCTTGACATCTATCTCTTCGGTCTCCATTCCATCCCTTTCGGTCAAGTCTTCTTCAGATGTGCTGCTTCTCAGGAAAACAATGCTATGCTTGCCAATGGATTCTTCTTCATCCACTGGATCCATCTGAGAATTACAGTGAAATGGATACAATCAATATTGATCTTTTTCTCTCTCTTTAGAAAGAAAGAAAAATTACATAAACCTCATTTTTACCTTAACATTGGTGAGATCCACATTGTTCCCTTTGAGGAATGAAATAAAGTCCTCAAAATTTTCTGGTGTTGGCATATAATGGCCACTGTGAGGCCAAACTGCCTGTTAATAGTTGACCAAAAAGCCTTGTTAATCAACTGCGTAAATGTCGAACAACCATATACAAATCCAATATGAACTGTGAAACAAGAAACGAATTTCCATCTGTTTTCACGTTTTAACTATACCTTAATGATGCCGTTTTCAACAACTAATCTCCCAGCTGCGGATGTTGCTCCTCCGGCCAAGAAGCTAGAATGCTGAAATGTGCCTTTCTTTTTCTTGCCAACATATAAGGTCATAGATGTGCTGAGGACAAAAATCCACTTAACATCCCTTGGGCCAGTGGTGTCAAGGAGCTCTCCTGTTTGCTTGTACAAGAGCTTTCCATCCTCCACTACAACTTCATAAGTCTTCCTTTCCATCTGTGAAGATAATAAATATATATATCAGTAAGAAGTTTTTGCATCCTTGAGAACCAAATTGCTTATTAAGAGAAGAAAAAGAAGAAAACAAATTTTTTTATTAAAGTACGATTAAGAGATTAAAGGGGCTCACCGGACCAAGATACTTGATGCACTGCTGCTGAAGTTTTAACCGAGGACATTTATCAAGAAGATTCACCTCCTTTCCTTCGCCTATGTCTAGCCTGCATTTGCAAATGAGCATCTTTGGTCATTATCATAATATGAAAAAATGAGAATGAAAATTTTTTACATTCAAGAAAACCGTCAAAAATTTACCAGTAGAAGAAGGGTTCTTTGCTTTGACAGTGCAGCCAATTAACATAATAGAATTGGAGATTGTGTCCATAACGATGTCGTGGATCAATCTGTTCAACCCAAAGAATTGAGAATCAAGATCAATAACCACCAATAATGGAGTAGAAGAATACAGACTTTTAGAGAAATACGCTTACAGCCTCGAGCCAATGTTGTAAAGCAAGTTTCTGGGCTTTACCATTCTTCGATAAGCCTTTTCCAACCTGCAAATTTAGAGAGAGAGAAGAAAGAAACTCAATTAACATAAATTTTGAAAATAAAATATGCAGAAGCTAATATAAATCTAAATCAAATTTACCTTGGCAGCACGGGTTCTTGCTCTCGACCATCGTGAAATGGCTGTCTCATGTTTCTCAATTTCAAAAAATGATATAGAACTTCGCTTTAGTTCTGCAAAATCTAAGAGCTTCCACCTGTAATTGTTTTAAAACTTCGCATTAGAAGGGTAGAAAAGCCAATAAAGCTTTCAAATAAAAGGAGGAAAAAAAGATCTGCTAGTGGTAATAACAACATACCAGCTTTGCTCTATGAGAACTGCACAGTCTGCTAGCTTTCGCCTTGTTCGAAAGCTTTTGTATACTTTCTGCAATTTTATCGCAGCCTCATGTTTGGGGTTGCTTGCATCCAATACGGGCAATTTCGTGTTTTTCTCCGGCACCCAATTTGAGCTTGGTGATTGATTATCTAAATATATGCAATCATCACCACTAGATGTGATGCACACATCCTTTTCTTTTGATGAAGGAGCTTTAAATGAGATCTTTGCTTTGAGTTCACTTGCTTTAAAGCTAACAGATCCTTCAATCATCATCTTTCCAGAACCTATTGATTGCAATATGGTGGGTTCTGAGTCCCGGCCATTGAAGCTGACGGATCGAGCTGGAGTTTTCACTCCATCATCTCCAAAACTGATGGATTTAACAGTGACAGATTCAAAACCATTCTCTAAATCAATATCATCCGCAAATGGGCACGAAAAAGAAATCCCCATATGACTTTAAAGGGGATTCTGAGCAGCCTATGAGATCTTGATTCCTGTTTAGACAAACCGTTACTTAAAAGGTGAATCTAACATATTTTAAGATGGAACTAAATGTAAACGTATCAATGAAAAAAAAAACCTATTGTGTGTACAAACTGCAAAATATTCCGAATCATGGAGGGTTTTATATCAAATGTAGCAACTAAACCAATCAAGATGATGAATTCACAATACCCATTTGCATAAACAATTTCTTACCAAAAGAAAATAAATAAAATTGACTGAATAAAGATAAATCCATTTAATATGCCCCATATACAGAAATCCTAGAAAACCCATTTCATCAGTATAGCATTTTCTATAAATGGTAGATGTATGAAATAAACAAGACAACGCAATCAGCTGTAGAATAATTCAAACTTTGAAAAAACAAATGATACAAACAAATCCATAGAAAGAAACCAAAGATCTATCATATACCCATTTTGTCTTGTTTGAAAATAAACAAGACAAATCAATCAGCTGTAGAATAATTCAAACTTTGAAAAATCAAGAAATGCAAACAAACCCATATAAAGAAACCAAAGATCTACAATACCCATTTTGCCAATAATAATAATAATTTTTAATCAAAAATTAAAAAGAAAATGGATTTCAATGTCATTAAAATCCATTACAAATGGCATATTCCATAAGAAAAATCAGATGAACACGTGAAGCATTCTGTTGAACATGTTTAGGGCTAAATCTTTACAAACACAAGATGTTCGATCAAATGTTGCAGAGACATACCCATCAAGCAAACAGCACAGATTTACAAAACCAACTTTAAAATGTTAATAAAAATATCCAAAAACAAGATCAAATAACATTCAAGAATTAATATCATGTGCAGAAATCAGACAATATAAATAGAAGAAACCCAACAGAAAATTGGAAGAGAAGAGACTTTACCTCAATGTAAGAAGTCTTTGTGGGCCAAAAAATGAGGAATACAGAGAGAAACTGGTGGGTGTTAATGGGGTGAATGAATGAACGAATTTGGATGGGGAAGAGAAATTTCAATTTGATAAACCTCTGCTTTGCTCTGCTCAGCTTAAGTTCAAGCTTACAAAAATAAAAGTTGCTGTCTTCGTCTACTCATTGCTTTGGTGTTTATATAGTAAAAACTGGGAGGGGCAGACAGACTCAGTTTAGAGAGAGAGAGTCTCCACACACACACAGACTTAACGCATACACACGCAGAGACTCCAAGCACGTGGAATGGACTTTGGGGATGCGGTATTGTTTTTCCATTATCCTTTTTTTATAAACCCTTTCCTCACCTTTTCTTTTCTTTTCCAATTTTATTTTCATTTTTAGTAATTATAAAAAAACCAATTAAATACAGTTGACTTGATTTTTTTTTTTCAAGAGTCGACTTGATGATAAACCACTAAATCACAATTATGAGATTCATTTATATAAATCCTAATGCCTCACTTTCTAAAGAAAAAGGTTGAGTTGGAAGTACTTTTTCACTTTTCAACGTACAATATTAAGAATTTATGTTCTTATTAGAGCAACTGGGTGTGTGAGTACAATTTAATCATAACAAAATGTTATTTGGACCTCAAAAGTCATTCCGGAACTGAAGTTAAAATCAAATTTTGGCTATTGGCAAAAATGCTATTTGAATTGGTTCAATCATACTTAATCGGGTTTTATTGGGGCTAAATTTTCTTTTATGTATTATGCTCCATGCAAATGAATAATTTTGAAATTTTTTTTACAAATATAATAAAATTGCTAGAGTAGATTTTTAGATTGCTTATTTCTTTTTGGTTATGATGATTTGTTGCACAAATCTTATATTTATAGAATCCTAGTTTCATAAGGTTTCTGCACATATATTATATGCAATTTGATGTATGATTTGTAAGATATGAATTTTTGAAGTTCGAGTAAATTAGAATTTAAATAAACATCAATAAGTGCATTTTGATTCAAATATCTACTATTTTACCCTCTTTAGATAGTTGAGGGGGGGTTTTTTAGAAAAAAATTAGTCGGGTTTACTCAAAAATGTCCATATGGTTTATTATTATTATTATTTTAGTTAGTACTCACACACACATGTCTTCACGAGGTTTAAACTCTTTACCTCTTTTTAAAAAGTAGGAGCCTAGTACCGTTAGGCCACTGACCCGTTACCCTATTATAAAAGTAGGGTGTGAATATCGCCTCCCTTAATTTTTCTCAATTCGGTATTTACCAATTCTCAACTCCAACTTAACAATTGACTACATAAGCCAATTCTTAAGCTAAAGAATCAAGGCTCAAGAATAGGTATTCAGTACATCCCGTGTAGCGGGTTAATAAGAGTTGTGCATACACATCAAGTATGACTCTCATTAATTTGATACAGATGCATTAAACACACTTAATATCTATCCCTAATCGTGGAGAGGACCAATGCTGACTATTACCAATAACAACTAATCACGTAACATAATAAATGCAAACTAGTATAATAATGGTCAAAAAAAAAAAAAAAAGGCAGTATAATGAGACATAAATATATATATATATATATATATATATATATACATATAATTAATAAACATTTGTTATTAACAGGGCCCTAATAGGTTTTAGTTGGTTTGGTGTCGTATATGCTTACGTGGAGTTGGTAGACATTACAATTGATTCAATATGTAATGGTCAAGGTCACTGAAACTTCCATGCTATCTTCATATGAATGACCCACTAGTTGACTGGGAAAAATCTTTTTCGTAACTCCACTTTTACTTCGCAAAGAAGCTTATAATGAGTCAAAGTGAAACTTATGTAACGGGACATAATATTGAATTGGAAATTTGTTTCTTCAAAAACGAATACTAAACATAAAATATTGATTTAATGTGGACTAGATCACTTGATACAATATAAGGTTTTAGAAGTTCGTTTAATTCAAGAAATAAAAATTATATTTTTTTTGAAAGAAAAATTTAATTATTAAGAAATTGCTATAGTTAATTTTTTTTTTTTTAATCTTATTTGATGCACGTTGTTGAATTGAATTATTAAACAATACTCAAGAAGTTTTTATGTTTTTTAAAGAAGTTAGTTTTGAATATATTTTGACATTTTCTAGATTCATTAGAAAAGAAAATGCTTGCTAATAATAAGTCAAAATGAAACTCGTGCAAAGGGGAATAATATTAAATTGGAAGTTTGTTTCTTCAAAAACGAAAATTAAAAATCTATATAGTCATAAAATATTGATTTAATATGGACTAGGTCACTTGATACAAGGTTTTAGAAATACGTGTATTTCAACATTATATATAATTTTTTTGTAAGAATTTTCTTTTTATATAATTGTTTGAATTTTAATTATTCAGAAATTGTCATAATTTAACTTTTTATTATTATTTGATACACAATATTGAATTGAATTATTAAACAAAACCCAATAACTTTTCTTTACTTTTTTTTATTTTATATTTTTTATTACAAAGTTGGTTTTGAATATATTTTGACATTTTCTAGTTCATTAGAAAAGAAAATGGGTTGGTGTGCGACCACTAGAGAGGTAAAATAAGAGAACGAAAAGTATGATTGAGACTTAGAATTTGAATCATTCTCCTCTGTAGGGGACAATATTTTTTTTTATTTTCCATGCACGCACTGCATTGCTCTGAAAAAATTAAATAAGATGAAAGATTATATATGGAGTCCATATATTTATTTCAAATACCAAAAAAAATGTGAATCTTAACGCCTACGGCGAGCAAAGTCAGATCCTCCTTCAATGCCTTGGTCATGTGTTACATCGCTAGTAGGGGAGGGTAAATATAATACGAGAATTCGATCAGTAAGAATCGAATTGGATTACTTCACCTTTATATTGACGGCAGATTTAAAAAAATTGAATCTATAACTCATGAATTGATCTGTCAAAATTTGATCTGATTCGTCAGTCCAATTCGATCGGATCCTCGATATATATATATATATATATATATATATATATATATAATAAATTTATTAGTAAATTTAATTAGTTAATGATCATTTAATGGACTTTAATAATGCATTAATTAATAGTTATTTAAATATATGAATTAATTATGATAGATTAAAATTTTATCCATGGTTAAAAAATAAACAATATTGGATAATTTATGAAAAACTCATATATGTGGATCTGATCCGTCATTTTATGGATTTGATTCGTTATCTAACGGATCGGTGTCGGATTAAAATTTTACAATCAGTTGAGAACGGATCGGATTTTGATTGATGCTTAATTTGATCCGATACGATCCGTGACCACCCCTAACGGCTAGTGTAATACATTACATTACATTGCAACATATTCATGAAAAAATTATTATTGAGTATTATAAAATGGGAGGCGATATCATACTCCACTTTTCAATGTTTAATCTTAAATGAAAGGGCAATTCTAACTTTATAAGTAAATAATTATTACCTTTTAAGTGACACAATTTCTGTTTTAGATTAAAAAAATTGAATAATTGTTTTTACGAGACCAAAAGAATATATATTATGTTGAATAAATTGCCTCTTTTAACTGGACCATTAAAAAATTTATCTCCCTTGACATGAAAAAAAAAAACCTAACAAAAATATATTTATTGAAGAAATTATCTCTTTTGTTAAGATCCAAAAAAAAAAAAAAAATGTAAGTAAAGAAGAGGATTAAAATTTTTTTATCTGTATTGAATAAATTATTTCTTTTGAAAAGACAAAAAAAAAAAAAAAATTGTTATTTTAATCAATAAAGTATTTCTTTTGATAGGACCCATCAAAAATAAAGTTACCTCTTTTAACCGGACTAAAAAATAGTTAACTTTATAGAATAAATATCTCTTTCCAAAAGAGAACCTTTGAAAAAAACCAAAAAAAAAAGAAAAAAAAAAAATTAGTAAAGAAAGTAAAGAAGGTTAAAAAAAGTAAAAGTTATATAAATGGTAAATTTGACATTATAAATTAAAAACTGGTGCATTAATAAATTCAATAACTTTTTTGTCATCTTTTTTAAAAGAAAAAGGTAAATTGAGTGTAATCAAGTGTAATTGAATAAAAGTGGAGTATGAATATTTTTTATAAAATTATTGTATTAGTCAGCTGTCAGAACTCACAAGAAATGTTATTACATAGTTTGAGATCGCGCAGTCCCAAATTGTAATTGGCTAAGATTTTTCAAAATGTAATAAATTTTAGTGAATGTTTTGATATATATATATATATATGTCGGTATAATTATTAAATTAATGGAGCTATATATATATATATTATATATATATAGCTCCATTAATTTAATAATTATACCGACAAATTTAAGATTTATTAAGCAACTGTACAAAAAGTGTATACTTGTGAGAAAACACACATTGAATGTATTAAACGGAAAGCAGGGTTTAGTCTGTTACTGGTTTCACATTGCTTTACGCAGTTAGTACCTCACAGAGATGTAAATGTGTGTGAACAATGCGTCATGTAGCCTTTACACTACTGTCGCTATACATATATATATACATACACAAAATAAGCTTGCACAGTTGTATATTAAGTCCAATATTAGAATATAAATGTATACTTTGATCTGTATCGGAAAGTAGTATACTAGTATCAGTAATATATAAAAGTATTTATACATCTTTTTAGTTTTTAGTAGCAGCAAGGAAACATCGGATTTACTGGTAAGGTGACAAATGAATTCATAGACTTTTCATGCAATTAATTAGATATATATATATATATATATATATATAGATATAGGAGATTTATGGATTTGAATATGCAATGAATGATGATGCAAATCATCTTTTGCGCATGGATAGGGCCTAGTAAAGGGTCTGATTCGGTCCTTATCTGTCATGAATTGAAATCTCAACACCGCTATGTATTTATATAATTATAATTTATTAGATTGCATTACATCAATTATATGTTTGATATATCAAACTATGAATGAAATTTGAAAAAAAAAAAGCATTGGATTTTTTTTTTAAAAATAATGATTTGGTTCATCATCGTTGCACTTGGGCGAGCTCCCTTTCTTGGAGCAGTCTCCCCCACCTTTGTCGAGTCTGAAGATTAGACACATGATGTCATTAATATCCACAATATTATGATGACATCAATGACTACACAAATAAATTTAGTTCTTTTTTTTAATTGCTTAGTACAATGCTCAAGGAATGCAACATATAAACTCCTCTAATTTATAAGATACCCCGCTTTGGAGAACTCATATATGATTGACCTTTTGTGTTTTTATTTCTCAAAATTTAGCCAAAATAAATTTTTAATTTTTTTTAAATGTAAATATTTGAATTTTACATTTTCGTAATTCTAGCCAAATTTCACAAAAATAAAATAAAATTCTAAAATTTTGACCATTAATTAATTGAAAATGATCAA